TTGCGGCGAAGGAATCGTTCACGCACTTTCGCAAAAAATCTCTGGCAAAAAAGCACTGCAGCGCCGCCAGATTCTTTTTGGCAGCCTAACCTAGGGTAGTAAACCAAACACCTACCTAACTCGGTTTGGCATGCCTAAAATGCGGCGCGGCAGATTATGGACACGAACCAAACGGACCCTTAGTTTCATCTAGTGAAGCTCTTTAGTGTAGCCTTGTTGAGAGCTTTTAGTGAGTAGTGACTTACCCATTGTGTTTATCTAGAGATTATAGCAACTAGAATTGTTGGGATAGGTGGCTTGTAATCATTGTAGAGTTAAAGAAAAAATGCATTACGCTGCGTTTGTTGTACTAATCAATTGCTCTAGTGCTTTGAAATTTTTTAAATAGGCTATTCACCTCTGTAGCTATATTAGAACCTTTCAGTGGCCCGTGGTGGTATTGAGATAAAGGAGGAGGAGCTCCCACTGATGAGCGTGGCTCTGGCTGGCTGTTGGGCGGGCCCAACAGAGTAAATCCAAATTTACGGTGGAGCTCTCCTAAATAGTATTGTGAGAGTCTAGCTTCACGGTGGAGTCGCTAGCTAGTGGATTTAGATGGAGCTGATCTCTAGATGTGATTTTCAGAGTTAGAGCTCTCCAAAACAATCTTAACTAGGGTGGTGTTTAGTTGGGCAAAGTTTACGCAGGTAAACTTTGCATAGTGAAAATTCTCTACTGTAACATTTCGTTTGTATTTGTAAATTATTATCCAAACATTGACTAATTAGGCTCAAAAGATTCGTCTCGTAAAGTTAAAGCAAACTGTGCAATTAGTTTTTTATTTCGTCTACATTTAGTACTCAATACATGTACCGTAAGTTTTATGCGATGGTGAATCTTCTTTTTGCATAGTGCACTTTTTAGGAGTTTGGAGGAACTAAACCAGAGCCAGATTAAACTTATTTTCAGGTATTGCTGATACATCACTACCGGTCCATATAGTAATGGAGCCGGCGGTGTGCTACACTACTGAGAATCCGGAATCCGTTAACTGCCGAGTGCCGAGGCCCGGAGGGTAATTTTTTTGACAGACGAGGGAGGGATTGGCGGTCGTGCGCCTCGCACGTCGAGCGGCACGTGGCCGTCCGGCGACGGTGCACGGCGCCTTTGGTAGCCCTGCTGGCTTCTGCTTCCGTCGTCCGGTCAGCACCACCAACAGGCAGCGTGCTCGGCCCCCGAAAGCCACCCACCACTGCGCTGCCACAAGGTCGGGCTTGTTGGGCAGAACGCCCCTCGTGTTCCATCTCGTGCTCTGCCCAAACCTGGAGGGCGAGGCTGCCGCCAGCTCACCAACTCTACTGCGCGGTGGTAAAAGAATTCCAAAAGGTACGGAGTAGAATCAGCCAAGAGCTGTCGACTTCCGTGCAATGCCTAACTACACCAGAATAATATGACGTACTCCGTACTACTAAACTCTCGAGGGCTCAAAAACCATCCGGGCCTTGTTTAGATGCCATTCAAATTTTAAGTTTTTTCACTTTCTTTTCATCACATCAATTTTTAGTCGTTTGCATAGAGTATTAAATGTAGGTAAAAAAATAACTAATTACATAGTTTAGTTAGAAATCACGAGATGAATCTTTTGAGCCTAGTTGGCCTACGATTGGACAATATTTGCCAAATAAGACGAAAGTGGTTCGAGTTCAAAAAATTTACAAAGTGAACCAGGCCCAAATCAAATTATGCCAATTATAAAATGTATATATATACTGACTCAGTGTATGGAGATGGAGTGCATTCAGCCGTACCTTAGCTTCGTACGTTGATTTGCGGCCACGGATTCGTGGGTTCAAACTGTTGTGGAGCTGGTGGGGGATCGGAATCAGATGGGGTCCGTACATACACGTCAAGCAAGTCGTCAACACTCGCAGCTTTTGATGCATGAACTTGCTGCACGGACAGGTGTGTACCGACCAGTGCCGACTGCCGACATCTGAGTCTCGAAGAGCTAGCTCGCATGGCAGAGTGGCGGCGTACACGTCGACCAAAAAAACCGGGAAGAATCCGGCCGGCGCATGCAACTGGATTCGCTGTTCGCTCTCGCCGGCCGCGTGCGTGGAAACCTGTAAACAAACGAGCCCTCTGCGTTCTTCTTGGGAAACACGTTGAGTTTTGAAGGCTGAAACCAAAAACAGAAAAAACTAGAGGAACAAGAGACGGTTTCTCTAAAACTCCTCCGTTCTAAATTATAAGTCGCTTTAAAAAAATCTTTTTGTTCATCCATTTTATTATGTATCTAGACATATTATTTAGATGCATAATGTAACAAAAAAAAATCAAAACGAGCTATAATTTGGAACATAAGGAGGAGGAAAGATATATACACATCTAAATTCAAGCTTTGGTGAGCAGTTGGGTACATGATCACGGGCGTGTTCGGCTGGTACGGTTGTCTACTGTGTACTAGTTTGTTTCAGTTGATTTTGACTAATTCAATAGTGTTATATGAGAGAGAATAAGCTGAAACAAGCTGAGTCGAGCCAAGCCGAACACGCTGCACATCTCTTATCCAGCCAGTTAAGCTAATCCACTTTCACGTAGGCTGAAACAATGACATACTACTGCCAAACCTAGCTCAAAAATGTAGTAATGTATGTTTACACTATATACATGTACTTGCCTTAGTAAGGCTTTCGAGCTTATGCACACTTCAACACATCATACTTGTCTCGGTAAGGCTTTCAAGCTTATGCACAGCTCAACACATCAACACATCATACTTGTCTCGGTAAGGCTTTCAAGCTTATGCACAGCTCAACACATCGAACATCCGGAAATGCAATGCATAGTATCTGTTGTTCTAAATCCCTACATTCTATAGCATTTACCGAAGGGCCTCTCCTACAGTTATTGGTGGAGCTAAATGAGGCTATAACCATTAAGTTGTATTCCCTCCATCATGGAATGGTAATCATATTTCAAATAGGGAAAACTCAACTTTTACAACTTTAACTAACAATTATTCAAATTATATACAAGTTTAGAACATATTCAAAGTGGATGTTATATTATATTGATTCTTTTGCAAATGACAATATAAAGTAAGAGAAATTAATAGTCAAAATCTATTATGCTTGACTTTTTCATGATTATATGTTTATCATTTTGGGAGAGAGGGAGTATATGGACACAAACCCCACCTCAAACCGCTATATATATCTGGAGATTTAAAACCAAGATAGTATCTCAGCATATGTTAGTTTTGACATTTTTTTTACCAAAATATTAGTTTTGATATTAGAGGAAATCATATACTCCTATGTTATTAGTACCTGATCTTGTAATGTCGTACTACTATCAACTTCTCTCTCTCTCTCTCTCTCTCTCTCTCTCTCTCTCTCTCTCTCTTTGCTAACACATTTGAATCGATGAAATATATGCAGTGGACAAATCGTGTTCAGACTTGCTTGGGTTAGGTTGATACCTTGGTCAGGCGCAATCAGGAGCAATCCATAAATTATTCCTAGGGCTTGTTAAAGAAAACTAACACGGGAGTACGGGTGGAACAGACATTCCTAGCTCTCCTCTCGGCTTGCTTTGACTGCATATCCATCCATCCCTCTAGCTGGAAGTACTACCTACACTACTACTACAAGCATTGTATCACATTTGTCTCTATAAAAGGCTAAATGCATCAGAGATCCATTAACTTGTGAGAAGGTTTCAGTTAGGTCCATCAACTTTCAAAGTGGCTTTTTTGGTCCATAAACTTAGTATGGTGTATCACTTAGGTCTATAGCTGTCCACATTGGCTTCTCGTGCTGACATGACATGATGATGTGGCCATGTGGGTGTGCAGGCGGTGCCGCCGCCCTGCCACACGGGCGCGAAAACAGGCCAGCCGCAGCCCCACGGGCGCGCGAGCAGAAGCCGATGCCGTCACCATGGGTGCGAAAGCGGCGCTATGGGCGAGCCGCCATCGCTGCGCGTCTTGAGGAGGTCTTGTTGCCGCCGCCGTGGGCGCTGGTGAGCTGCTGCCACGTTGACACACAGCGCCGCGAGCAGGTCGCCCTCCGCGGCGTCCACCGCTGATGTTGTCGTTCCCCTCCCTGTCTTCGCTGTGTGCGGCAGCGCCGCCGGGATGGAGCTCGCGCCGGTGAGAATGGCTCTTGCGCCGCTAGAGAGAGCTTCGCGGCGGCGAGGGGCCCGGAGGAAGCTGTTGGAGTTGCGCGCCGCGGTCGGCCATGGAGGAGGGGACGGCGCGCCGCGAGGAAGCCACCGGAGAGGAGCTCGCGCGCGCGGGCGGATCTACGGTCAACGCTTCGCGCCTCCCTACGTGCTTTCGTCGGGCGGTGGCGGCTGCTCATGCGGCGCGCGCCAGCCGGGCGAGGCCAGCGCCCATGAAGCTTCGCCTGCCGGGCGGCGGCGATATGCACCGTGGCTGCAGCCCGAGCCCGAACGGTGAGCGAGGGGAGAAGAATAGGGAGTCAGGAAGGGGCACGCGGGCCACCACCGGTTGCTGGCGTGCGCAGGATCTGCTGGCCACGAGCGCCACCACCGGCAGGCCGCGGGCACGGGCTCTGCTGTCGCGCTAGCCTCGACCGAGGTGGGCTCCTAGGAGGGCGTCCACGGGTGGCCGGAGACGCTGTTGCTCCCAAACGACTCGAGGCTCGGTTTCCGTCGCGACGTCCCTCACCGGCAGCAGGCTTGTCTTGCGCGCGCTTTCGGCTCGACGAAGTCGTCGCCGCCGACCGCGCGTTGATGAGCCTTTGTCGTCGACCACGGCCTCGACGATGGAGCGAGCCTTGGCGACGCCGCGGCGGCGAAGGATGGCGCCACCGGCGTGGCCGCGGAGGGAGCTGCGGAGGTGGATTGCTGGTGGTAGTTGTGGATCTCCTTGAGCAGTTTGGGTGGTGTACGAGGCGGGTTGCGCCTATCGAAGATCGCTTTCGTTCTTCCCGGACGAAGCTCGGCCGAGCACCGGCGTCGCCCCGCCCGGCCGACACCATCTTCCCGGGCTGCTACCTCGCGCGGTCTCCACAAACCGAGCCCACCGTAGCCCACAGAGGCCGCAGCGCCATCCGCGTGTCTCCCGGGCGACCGATCGCCTGACCGCTTCCGGCATTGCGGCGAGCCCCGGTCGGCGGCGACGCTGACATGACCGCCGCACCGTTCTGTCTGTCATCCCGGTCGCACTCCTCGTCCCTCGCCTCTTGGTCGAAGTCGTAGCTGCGCTTGGACCCCGAGCGCCTCCTGCGGTGTCCGCCGCCGCCGTCTCCCGCCTCGCCGGATGACGCCGCCCTTCCGGCCCCGGACGAGCTCCTGCTGAGCCGGCCGCACTGGATTAGGATCGCGTCGACCTCCTCCTTGGTGCAGCTGGAGGTGCGCACTGACGCCGAGGGCACCAGCACCATCGGTAGCTGCTTCGGCGCCGCCGACTCTTGCGACCCCGACGACCGCTTCTTCTTCGGATCCTCCCCGGGCGCCGCGGCGGTGTCCTTGGCCGACAACACCGGCCTCACGACGAACACCGCCGCCTTATTCGCCGTCGCCTGGGGGCGCAGCCAAGCCTCGAGCACTCCGTACCTCGCCCACGTGCCCGTGTGGCCGCGGCGGGCTTGTTCGCGCGCCCGCAGTGGCGGCGGCGGCACCTGCTCGCGCGGCCACAGGATATTTGACGAAATAAAGCGTCAATAGTTGCTTTAGAAGGAAGTCAGCAAGCCACGTCAGCACGAGAAGCCATTGTGGACAGCTATGGACCTAAGTGATACACCATACTAAATTTATGGACCAAAAAGTCACTTTGAAAGTTGATGGACCTAATTGAAACCTCCTCACGAGTTAATGGATCTCTGATGCATTTAACTCAGGCTAATAACCCCCACGCCGCGCTTCCTCTCCTCTTTTCTCTTCAGCAAATTCTTCTTCTTCCTAGCTTGCAACTTCAACTGAGGGCATATATCACACACACAAACAACCACACAAGCGATCGACTAATCGAACTGATGTACGCATAGTTTGTAAGAAAAACGTACTCCACACCATGGTGAGCTGCATCAGAAGAACTAGTGCAATGAGTCTGGTTGTAGTCATCTTGCTCATCGTCTCCTTGCTCACCCTTCACCTCCCCACCGCCTGTGCTAGCCATGGTGAGTCCCTGGTCCATCTTGTTGTGCAGTCGGAGTCGATGCACTTTAGATTTTGCCTTGATCCGTCCATCTTCACTGTTCTTGCAGTTGTCGTGCTAATCCCAAACAATGAACTGATGAACAACAGAGGAAACGAGGTTAGTGAAAACGCCCAATCTACTCTCATCGTTGGTTTTGTTCTGTTCACAGAGCAAGTAAAATCTAGTACTAGTAATCTACTGACAGATTCTAGTACATGTACATATTTTACTAAAGTTACTAGAGGATTTGGATGACTGTACGCAGAACCTCGGCGAGGCGTTGGCGTCCACCGACGACGATGATTTAGATGCCAGCAAGGTAATCTCAGGGCGGAAGCTCGGTGCACCGAACAACAAGGAGGGAACCAAAGCCACCGTGGGAGCGACGACGACGACGACTTCAGCAGGCTCACGGCCGCGGACGGTGGAGATGCGCGCAGCCGCGAAGCACGGCGACGCGGTCACCGAGATGTACGACATGCTCAGGAGGGACTACGCGTCCAAGGCGAGCCGCCGCCGGCCGATCAACAACGGCGCCACGCCGCTGCAGGTGAATAAGAAGCCCTAGAGATAGCTAGTACCGTACGTAAGTACTCCATAGCTAGCTAGTTTCCCCGGCGTGCTCTCGGGCATGGCATCACTAGTTCGGTACATATAGTTAGAGCTGCCTAGCTGCTTCGTTCTCTTCAGGCTTTAGTTGCTATATTTAGTCCTAGGAGTAGTAGATTAGGAGGGTTTATACACTTAGTTGTCCCATGTGGAATAATAATGCCTTGTGCCCAGCCTTAATCTAGCCTTCAATCTGGACAACCAGTTTAGCCCAATCTGCAACAGCAGCATGGATCATTCATGTGCAGATGGGCAATTTTGTCACTGGTGTTCATGCTTGAGGATAGATGCCATGTAGTAGTATGTACATCCGCACCAGTATCAGGTCGCAAATGTGCTCATATGCTTGTAACAGATTCAGTGATTTACATGTATTTCCACCAATTTACTGTCATGCTGTTATGTTTCTTCACTTGCCGATATAACTTCAGTGATTCTCGGCTCATGGCAGCAGAGTATCACGGTTCAAGTAGCACCCTCCATGGGTGTTCATCTGGAATAATACCTCAACAAGTATCCACAAATCCTATACCGAAGCTATACCTTAATTCCTCACTCATCATAGTGTTTTGTAAATTACAAGCCACTACCGAATCCGACAAGCCATTAACCTGCTAGAGATAAATAAGAACAGCAGGGCATTGGGGGGCAGAAAAGAAAAGAGAAGGGGGAGAGGAGAAACATTTGAATGAATTTAACATGGACCTCCACGGGCTCAAGCGTGACAGACACGAAGGGCTCAACTCAACAGGCAAAAAGGATGCAGAGGCAGGCGCATTCAGAATTTACAGCAAAGGATTCTGTAACCCCAGCCTCGGTCTGCCTTCAGACGCCTGCGGTCGGCCTTTGCCATCTTCACGGGGCTGCTGTTCCACTCGTTCTGTAGTCTGTGAATTAGACCCAAAAAAAAAAAAGATGCACAATCCTATGAATGATGCTTGACAGAAAAAGAAAGATGCTTGAACCCATGAAAACAAAACAAAATAAAGTTTCATATATTGACAACATTTATGAAGAATTCCTACTGATTGGTTCAAAAGTTCAGAAACTGCCTTGAGCCCATGACAGTACAACCAAGTATGACGTTATGAGGTAGCAGTTAGCATAATGGAAATTATATCCATGCTTGACTGATATTCCTTTAGGCAGGGGAATTTATGTTGTTGACTATTTACCATTATAGAAGAACGAATTCAATGCTGTCCCATTCAGATGTACAACAAACTATGAAGTTGCTTATATGGGGCTAGATTTTATCAATTACGAATAGAATTAAGCAACAATATTGCAGGGCGAGAAAGCAGTTCTATGCTGAAAAGAAGTAATCAGAAAGTCTGCACTTACACTGGAAATGCAAAGGACCGAGTACTTGTTGTGCTACTTTCTGATCGAAGAGAAATGTTGCCAGAATAAGGTATGTGACCAGAGGGCGTTAGTGGACCTGATGTAATGCTAGGTCCAGAGAAGCTTGACTCAAAGGGATTGCGAATAACAGTTTGTGCAGTCACTTTTGCGCTATCAGGTCCATTTTGCTGAACCACAGATTCTGTTTGCACAGTAGTTGAACTCTTACTATCCGTTATGTCCTCACTTACTTTTGTGCCAAGCTCCGCATCTCTTGGGTTGAAATCATTTATATCTTGACCATCAATCTCATGTTTCTGACCTTGCTCACTTTTGACATCACTATGCTCTCCATTGCTAGTGGATAGAGATATAGCAGTGCCCATTTCATGTGCTACATCAGTTTTCACATCATTATTAGTGAGACTCTCTCCCTGATCATTACATTGTTCAGATGCTTGGACATCCAATGTACTTGAACTTTCTTCAACAGAATCCAACCTATTCTCTTCAATTATGGCTTCATCTATTTCAATAGGATCAAATCCTTCCAGTGCTCTGTTGACAAGATCACTAAAACTATCTGTCTTTTCAACAGGACAAATGGGTGCTATAGAAGCGGCATCCACAATAGTAGGGAAAGAGTAATTAGGTTCCCATGTCTCGTCTAGTGATCCATAGGCAATAAAAGGGTTATAGTGATTAACTTGGTTGGATCCTTCCATATCCAATGGAGCACTGACAGCAACTTCCTCAGGTATCACCACCGAGAAATCAGCAGCGGCTGATTCTTCTGGTAAATCATTGTGAATGATGTTACTGGTCTCAGACGCAATACCAATTCCAGTTTCATAACAATCATTCGATGAAACCTGTAACAAAGATCAATCATGTTATGTGCTCCAATGGTTTAGAGGTATATAAGTGATGTAATAGTTAAAACTATATGGGCAGTTGCTCATTTATTGAGCCAAATAAACTACGGATGTAATACCAAATCACGTTTTTCAGAGAACAGAACAAACAATTTACAGTTTACATATAATCATCGAACATTATGATACACATCAAAGGCAAGAATGAATTGTAAGGGTTAAAGTGGTGATCATACAGATTAGTTGCAAATGTTGTACTGTATAAGTTAAGTAGTTGCATACCTGATGGGTTGCTTCTCCAGTTAAAAGCCGGTCCTGATTTTCATTGCTCTCGCAAATGACACTGCCAACACCCTGGCAATCTTGTGCAACTTCATGACATGGTAATTGTTTGGGATTTAATTCCTCATCATTAGAATTGGTAGATACATCTACAGTGTTGTTATCTTCAAGATCATGCTTTTTGCACGAGTTCTGTTCCCCAGTATTGCCATCAGTGTCACACATGACAGGTAGGATAACTATTTCTGATTTTAACTCATGTGCAGTTTTTGTAGAGCCAGCGCTTATCCCTTCCCTTAGGTCACCGTTTGTATATTCTGAGGAATCAAAGTTTATGGACACCTTTTGATCTATTTGCTTTTCTGATGAAGTCTTTTGATCAAGAAGAACTCCTTCATCAATGCAGACATCCTTGACAAAATGGACACCGTAATCAGAAGAAAGAACTGTGTCGGGCAGTTTTATCTCTACAACATCCTTGTCATACGAGTAATCCTCAATGCGTGTCTGCCCAATTTTACCTCCATTCAGATGCTCAGCCTTCACAAAACTAAGTTCAGATTGATTGGTCTGTTCGACCATTTTATCTGCCAAAAATCTGAGATCACTTTGTCTTTCAGCCTCACAGTCTAATTTAGGACTGCCGTTAGATGCAAGATCATGAAAAATATGACTTTGGTAAGGCCTTTCATCATCTGCATGCCGATATCAAAATCAGTTATTAAAAGTGTGAACAGAGAAGAAGAAAAAAAAATCATAATGAAGCAAACATATCATAATCGACATTTATTGTTTCTAGTTTGCAACGTCAATAAATGACTAAAACTATTTCTAAGATTATAATAGTAATAACTGGTGACCAACCCAACCAGGACAAGAAATATCTAGAAAGAACTTATTATCATGTAATTAACATTAGAGTACTTAGGTAAGTTCATCTGTAGTTTCTCTTTCCTTTTAGTTGCGCTGTCACTGTAATCATATGCAAGCATTAACTTTCCTGCAGTGACTCACAACTCAAATAAAGCACATCTTGCTTAACTGTTGGTAGTCCTGAAGGAACAAAAACCAAGAACCGACAATCTTCCTACCAAATCAACGAAAATCATGATTCAATACAAACAGAATAGTTTTTTATTTTTTTAGCCAAGAATAATGTTTTTGTGTCGCCATCAAGTCAATATAGAGATTGCATTAAAATAAAAACTGACTGAAATTGGTATGATGGATCCTTCTATGAAGATTAACACGGAATATAACAGGCATATGAAAGCGAACAATGTTGATGAGGTATTAAAATCACAACGATGAGGTGGACAGTGGACTCTAGCAAATCACATGACGTATCAACGATGCGATGCACATTTCTTAGTTCAGTTATCCTAGCAAATGAAATGCATCATGCAATCAGATCGCAATCTATCAACAGACTACCCTATAAAGGCACACAATCAGCCTTTGCCACAGCCCAAAACCAGGCTAGCATCAAGAATCGTAGAAATCAGAATGCAACCGTGCTTAACTGACGCAATTAAGCAAATGCCTTTACAGGGCAGTGTGTTCGGCTGATGGTTTTTGCGGATGATAAGCCGGTTGATGTTGTTTTGTTGTGAGAAAAAAACACTGTACCATAGCTGATAAGCCGGCTCATAAGTTCATGCGAATAGGGCGATGTGTACCATAGCTGATAAGCCGACTCATAAGTTCATGCGAATAGGGTGATGTGAATCTCACTTACCTATCTTCATGGTCTGCACATATAGTATCCTTAAGTACTAGCCATGCCTCAGGACTCAGGAGCTGCCTTTGCTAAACAGTGCTGATTATTTTTCCTGCAAAAAAAAAAAAGAAGAGAAAGAAATATTAGAAATTTAGAAGTATACTCCGACGATCCACCCAGACAAAAAAGTGCATGCTTCCTGTTCTCCAGAATGGAGGACAAAAGGCTGCGTTTGCGAATGCCGATGTCCATCCATCTACAAACAAATGCCGCGTTTCGCGTAAACTAGATTCCCATGGGAGGAAAAGTCTCGCAGCGTCCTGATAGAACAAGACACTTTAAACCCTTTCAGAGACACCCAAAAAAAGAAGGATGAAAAAGAAATCAAAAGACGAAACCATGTCGCAAACACATAACGCTAAAGGAAAACACAAGCTCTGAAGAGCGAAAGCAGATGAGGCAACGACCGGCCCGCCCAACAACTCCTTCGCGGCATTTGGACACACCAAACATCAAGCGTTTCCAGGGAGAAAGTCAGCCTCAATGTACACACGCATACAGCTAGACTACACAGCACAGGACAGCACAAGCACCAGACAAAGCACCGGATACCAAAAACTGCAGGTTTTCTATACGCGTCGATGCAGAGACGGTCGGTCAGGCATACAGGCAGACAGAGAAAGGAACAAAGTAGCGGTGCCATACCATACGAAGCAAAGCAAAGGGAGACAATGACCTGGTTGGATCACAGGACAAGCACGCCCTGGTTTCTTCCTTTCTTCTCACGGAAAGAAGCAAACAAGCAAGGAGGACGATGGACAGCAGGACAGGGAAACATGAGCGAAACCACCAACCGCGCACCGATCCACCACTCACCCCAGCATCGAAAACCAGAGGGTCTCAAGTCTTGAAGAAACTTGCAAGGGCCCCGAGGAGCTCCAGACTCTGATAGCATGGCTTTAACTGCGCCGCATCAGACTGTGTCGGTAAGGCCTAAGGAGGAGTAATTACACAAGACTGTGCGGCCCAGCCCAGTAACTACGTGCAGGCAAGAACAAGACGCCTAAGAAGAGGAAGCTTGGATCAAAGATTCTATTTTCCCTCTTTTTTGGTGACAAATGATGCGCCTCCAATCCAGAATCACGAAACATGCACGTCGAATGCTACCTTCTGCGATTCTACCACTCATCTACCAGTTGTTCAGATCAGAGCTTCTGAAGAAATAACAACAGAGCAAAAACGAGCAACATGGGAAGATGAACAGGGCCAAGAAACGGCCTGTTCCCTCATCAGCTAGTACAGTATTTTTCTCTCACTCGCATGCAGAACCAGCCGTGGGAGGAGGAGGAGGACAGCACCACAAGAAAGGAGACCAAGAACAGGAGACGGAGTGAAGCAGTGAAGGATCGGAAGAGCTCTGACCTTCGCGTGTGCAGGCGCCGCCGCAATTCTGTTTCGCCTTCTCTGCTGCGCGCCGGTCAGAAAGAAAGCTCCGGGAGAGCCGGCGGGAGCAGCGGGAGGAGCGGCACGGCGAGGATGGGATGGATCGCGGCGGAGCCCGAGAACCCAAAAAATTCCGCGATACACAGAAAAGAATTCCCCGGGGCGGAGGGTGGAGACTTAAATAAACGTCATTCATGAGAGGCAGCAGAGCCGCAATAAATTTGATGCGTTGTGAGGGGAGGGAGGGGAGGCCCTTTTGCGAATAGGACCCTCGACGAGGTGCACGAACCGAAGCCTTGGATCGCTTCGAGAAGAAGGGCCTGCAATTTTTTTACGAGTAGTTGCAAGTGCAGTGCAGGTGTCGACTTTGCTATTCAGTCCAGGAAATTTTTGCGCGGCGGTTGACTGGGTAGGATTTTTCCATTCTGCTTCTGTCGGGGTAGAATTTGCATAAATGCTCTAGTCATCCTGAGTTGGCATTTCAAAGTGCAAAAAACACAATATTTTATAAGTAAAATGTCAACAGTACAACAATGGTATTGGTATATCTCGTACATTTATTAGAAAAGAATTTAGCATTCACTGGATTTTTTTTCCATGAGAGGTATACAATAATTGTTACTAGTCCATATTATAATATTTTCTTTTGTCACGACATAGAATACATCATACTTATATAGGATCAACAGTGAATTAGTGATATGTGAAGATCTTTGCAATATCAGTCAAAACAAATAAAATGAGGTCACACAGAGTAATAAGGGTTTCTGTATAACTAATACTAGACAGACAAATGAAAGGCACCAACAAGAAACATATAAAAAACACATGTTAAATGGCTGGCATTCCAACAAATTCTGTCTGTTCGCTTGAGCTTATTTAGAGCTATTTTTCAGCTATAGAATAGTGTTTTCTCTCTCACAACATATCAGCATAAGCATTAGCATAAGCCAAATTTCAGCATAAGCAAACAGTAGATCTCTTCATTCCATGTGATGTTTATTTTTCAAATTTTTTTGACAAGCAGGCTTACTTTAACTCTCCACATAACCAGAGTGAACATTAAATTTCCTGGGAAAAGAAATATATATTTCCACACCTCAAATAGACATTTCCGAGTAGTACTGTACTACCTCGTACTGGAATGCTAATATATCCTGGACATGAGAAATCTTTTGTTCAGTGTTCTTCCATTCATGTGCTGCTGTACCGGCCGGGAGCAAATCTGTTAGTAATTGATACTCACTGTACGAGATACACCTGGAAAGTACTGCTACAAGTAATTACGGACAAAACCGGGGTGTACATGCAAAATGCCTAAGGGAGTGTCTAGATCAGGGGCTAAAGTTTAGGAGTGTCACCTGATGTATCACATGGGAGTGTTCGGATAGTAATAATAAAATAAATTACACAAGTTCTCAGTAATCCGCCAGACGAATTTATTAAGCCTAATTAATCTATTATTAACACATGTTTACTGTACCACCACATTGTCAAATCATAGACTAATTGGACTTAGAAAATTCGTCTCGCAAATTAATCTCAATTTGTGTATTTAGTTTTATAATTAATTTATATTTAATACTCTATACATGTATCAAACATCTAATAGGATAGGGATTGAAAATTAGGAGGAGAAAACAAAAGGCCTAGAGAAGAGTCAAAGAAAAGGAGGGGCATTATTTTTAAACTACTACGAGCAAATCACCGGGCCACACCGCAAGGAGGAGACAGCTCGGCTGCATTTATAAGTACTATAAACCTCTGTGGATCCCGTTCCATTAGAGACAAAGACAAAGTAGAAGCCATGCTTTCCAGTTCCATCAGCCTGAGGCAAGACTCAAAAGAGATGATTCTAGCATAGGCTAAATTATGGGATTAGTAGTAGCATTCAGAATTTGAAAACATTTTTAATTATGTCATGTGGGCCAACTGTGCTTGTTTATAGGGGGAAGATTAAAGAAGGCTACTACCACCTGTCCCAGATAGAAGTCCTTTTTTTTTTGGATTGTGCTATATATGCCAAACATTTTGCTCTCTAATTGTCAACTTACAAAAGTGCTTATAGATTGACAACATAAGTTTGATGGCAATAGAATGATCATGAAAAATCACATATGTTTCGTTAATCTTAGATGATTCTTTGTCTGATAATAAAATAAACAAGTCATCTGTATTTGTCCGAAGTAAAATATTTTTTACCTTTAGATATGTATAAATAATTTTATATACATATCTAAATCATGTAAGATCTCTTGACGATGTCACGTTAAACTATTTTGGATCAAATGAAAGACCATGTAGCTTTTTTAGAAAGACCATGCTGATATATGTAGCATCCGGTTTTAAAGACAAAACCAGATACACTATATGTGAGGCTAGAAAGTCAAATCTCACATATAGCCACAAATAAGGGTAATATCAAGAGACAATACTTATTACATATCGTATTAGTAAAAGGAATATAACCTCAGAGTATAGACAGCGGAATGACAACTCCGATCTTCAGGCGAAGACTCCAAATCCACAGGGACGACTGATTGGTTGACCACAAGCCTAACTTCTTCAGACCAGCAATCTAGTACCCATCCGGGATTTTTATCCAAAGTATAGAAAAGTAAAGCAAACGTAAGTACATGTCGTACTCAGCAACATAACATGGGGTTCATGAGGCTCAAAAGGCTGGCACTGGTTTAACTACGATTAGCGTTTGTTTAGCATAATTTTAGCAATTGGTTGGCAACAAGTTTATCCATAAGCCCATAAACACATGATCAGGTAAACATGAATAATGAATAGCATAAACAATTGATTATTAGTATCATTATTAGCCATTAATGATCATCTATTCCATAAGGGTCCAAGGCCGCTCGTGACTATGAGCACGGCTGTTATAACAGTTTTACACTCTGCAGAGGTTGTATACTTTCACTGTGAGTCGTGATTTATCCTTTCGCCCAAAATAGCTAATCTCTTGACCCACTTCCAAGGAAGATCGGCAGGGTTCACTATGAAGCCTTTCAAAGGTTCATCTAACAAGTTAGGGCCGCTAGACGTATGTAGCCCTTCTCTAGGAGTGGCACGCGTGGGCACGCAACACGGTACACACATCCCAGCAGGAAAGGAAACATACACTCTTGCGCCATAAAGGTAACCACTAACAAGCTAGAAAAGGTCCTCATACTGAGCTAAAGCTAGAGCCATATAGCCCTCACAGCTGTACTGTAAGTCCCGGATGATCGCTTACAGATAAGTCCTTAGGGAGAGAAATCTGAAGCATTTAGAAAGTAGCTAAATACTCCAGCCCCCTGTTTCCATGTTGCTAAAAAGTCATGTTTTAATGTTTATTGCATATACCATTAGTCAAGTTACAATATCATGGTTTTGATTAAGCACTAGCAAAAACTATCCCATGCAATAACCCAAAGGTATCAAGGAATCCAGGATATCAATTATCTAGGATATCCTTATTGGCAACAAGGTAGACACATGCAATATGAATTAAGTGATTAAAGGTGAATAGGTAACCAGGATGGTCTCATGCTATACTTGCCTTACACACCGATCCTTCGGTAAGCTTTATTC